AATTCCCATATGACAAAATGGATTCCCCCAACCCCACCAGTATTCAGATTTGGGCATATCGGGTATTTGTGCCAGATTTGGTCCAGTGAATAAAAATATATCCTGCATATCAGATATTTACATTACAATTTGTAGCAGTAGCAAAATTACAGTTATGAAGTAGCAACAAAAACAATTGTTTGGCTGGGGGTCACCGCAACGTGAGGAACTATATTAAGGGGTTGAGGCATTAAGAAGGTTGAGAAACACTGCTTCAAATGGTTATAAATCCATGGTGTTTGAATAGTTTTCTTACCTCTATTTTGTTTTCATCTATGCTGTGAGTCACATTGGCTCCCATATTGGGCAAAAAGTAAAATATAAATAAATAAGCAAACAACAAACTGCAAGCATCTGCTGAGTAACCAGAAAGTTCTTGGACTTTTATCAGACCTCATTATGTTCAGAAAAAGAGCTTTGTTGCTATCTTCATGAAATACTGTATTCTCTCTTAATTGCCTACTGAATCCTCAGGGTATGTTTCCTTCCTGCTAGTTTACCATTCAAAATCCTTAAATAGGTTCATATACATTATAAAGGGACCCCCCCCCCCCCACGGTGGCAGTGGCACAGTGGGTTAAAATGCTGAGCTGCTGAACTTGTCGGTCACAGGTTCAAATCTGCGGAGCGGCATGAGTTCCCACAGTTAGCCCCATTTTCTGCCAACCCAGCAGTTCCAAAACAATCAAATGTGAGTAGATCAATAGGTACCACTCCGGCAGGAAGGTAACGGCGCTCCATGCAGTCATGCTGGCCACATGACCTTGGAGGTGTCTATGGGAAATGCCGGCTCTTCAGCTTAGATATGGAGATGAGCACCACCCTCCAGAGTCGGACATGACTGGACTTAATGTCAGGGGAAAACTTTTACCTTTACATTAGAACCCACATACACACCAGGGGGAATTTATTTGCTTTTCAAGAAAAGTGTGGGCTATATCTGAGGACCCTTTCAGACAGTCATATAACCCAGAATATCAAGGCAGAAAATCCCACAATATCTACTTTGAACTAGGTTATCTGAGTCCACACTGCCATATATCCCAGTTCAAAGCAGATATTGTGAGATTTTATTTAGCTGTGTGGAAGGGGCCTTGAGGGTGTGGAGGTGTAAAAGGATGCCAAGTAATAAGTATGCCTCCTTCATCACCTTTCCTTCATTGCAGATCTCTATTTGGACCAGTGCTCTTTTTTATCTGTCTGAAACATTTGCTGAGCTGCAGTAACTTAATCCGTCCTCAAACCCTGAGGTTCAAAAGGCATTTGCTATCAGTTCGAAAGCGACATATCACTCCCATCACTAACACATACAACAAATTAACAGAGATTTAATGCAGGGGAAAACTTTGTCAGCCCAAACCGTTTGGCTACAAAAGCCTGCAGTAAATACATATATAAATATATAAAAAACGTGGCATTACAAGGAAATGAAGGAGATGGGCAGAGATGCATGAAAACTACTGTAGTCTCCTTCATTCCACCTTCTGAGCCCTGCTTCTATGGCAAAGAGAGTGATTGCAGAGCAGGAGGATGGAAAATTTTCAGAATGAACAGATCACCCGCAAAGTCTCCAGGCATCATTTTTTTTGCAGCATAGGCCTGAAAGGGGGCGTGTGCGACTCTTAGCAAAATGCCACTCTCCCGTTCCTGAAACCTCTAGAAGGAGACAAGGCTATTTTAGGTCTCTCACTCCCCATCCTCATATCCTGACAGCACCTCCTCAGCCCCATATTATCTGTCAGGAACAAGGAACAATCCTAAAGGCTTGCAACCAAACACCCACTCGGCTAAATGCCACTCAGCAGAACGAAACACAAAACAGCCCACATATTATGGGGGAGTGATGCTCATTTTGTAATCAGCCCCCTCTCCCCCTTTCCAGCAAAATCCCCCTTTAAAACTCCATTAGCCCTATAAGATTTGACTGTTTTGCCTCGAGAGAAGAATCACTGGCTTGTTGTAGGTTTTTTGGGCTATATGGCCATGTTTTAGAAGCATTCTCTCCTGATGTTTCACCTGCATCTATAGCAGGCATCCTCAGAGGTTGTGATGTCCTCACAACCTTTGAGGTTGCCTGACATAGATGCAGGTGAAATGTCTAGAAGCATTCTCTAGAAGCATTCTCTCCTGACCGCCCCAGCCTTAAGTCAAAGATGAGTATTTTATAACTACAGCATTGGACAAGAGGTCTCATTAAATTCAAGGGCATTTTTTTCCAAGTCTGTTCAACTATCAGGATCAGACTATAAAACTGCAAACTTAGGTGAGCTAACCTGGGAGGAAAGACCCAGAGACTTTCAGATGAACAGGTGGAAGCCCTACAGAATTGAATTAATGGGAGTTACAAATTGCTTAAACTATGCACCCATTCCGAATAAACTTAGAAAGCCATTTGGAGCCCACTTATGGGGAAGAATTAAGGGGATTGAGAAGAGTCACAGTCTATACCAGGCATGGGCAAACTTTGGTTCTCCAAGTGTTTTGGACTTCAACTCCCACAATTCCTAACAGCCTCAGGCCCCTTCCTTTCCCCCCTCAGCCGCTTAAGCGGCTGAGGGGAGAAAGGAAAGGGCCTGAGGCTGTTAGGAATTGTGGGAGTTGAAGTCCAAAAAACTTGGAGGACCAAGTTTGCCTATGTCTGCTCTATACCCAAATATTCAAGGAAAGATGACCTGAACCAAGGTTCCTGATGAGTTTGCACTTTAATCTCTTGATAGAACAGGAAGAGTGACATGTCTTTTAAGCACAGACAGAGTATTTCTTCCATAATAATCACAAGGAGATGACAATATGTGTCATACTGGACATTACTACCTTGGGAGTAATGAAGGAGGCATTTAAATACCATGACACAGGGCTCCCTATTCTCCATTTCCTACAGAAAAGCCTGAAATGCCTCTTCTAATAGAACCATACATTGGAAGAGACCTCAAGGGCCATCTAGCCCAACCCTTCTGCCATGCAGGAAAACACAATCAAAGCACTCCTGACAGATCAGGCTCAAAAACTATCCAGACTCTGTTTAAAAACCTCCAGAGAAGGAGACTCTACCACAGGGTTGTTGTAGGTTTTTTGGGCTATATGGCCATGTTCTAGAAGCATTCTCTCCTGATGTTTCACCTGCATCTATGGCAGGCATCCTCAGAGGTTGTGATGTCCTCACAACCTCTGAGGATGCCTGCCATAGATGCAGGTGAACTGTCAGGAGGAGAATGCTTCTAGGCCATATAGCCCAAAAAACCTGCAACAACCCAGTGATTCTGGTCAGGAAAGCCTTTGACAAGACTCTACCACAGAATATTCCTCTGCCGAACATACCATCAAAACATTACCATCAAAAAGGTCTTCCTAATGTTTGGGTGGAAACTTTTTCCCTGCAATTTATATCCATTGCTCCATGTCCTAGTCTCTAGGGCAGCAGAACCTAAGCCTTCCTCAATGTATGATATGGAAACATAGTTATGTTTACAAATATGTAAACACAGCTAATGTGTCCCCTTCTCTCGGGCTGTTGTTGTTATTGGCTCCAAGCTAAACCCATCTAGCTCTTTGGGGGCTTGGCTTCCAAATCTTTCCAGGGTTGAGGTTAAGCAGCTGAGGGGAAAAAGGAAAGGGCCCGAGGCTGTTAGGAACTGTGGGTGTTGAAGTCCAAAACCCCTGGAGGGCTGAAGTTTGCCCATGCCTGCTGTAGCCCCTGCTGCATCAGCAGGGAGGAAGCTGGAGACTGGGAATGTTTTGCTTGAAGAAGGCTGAGAGGAGACATGAGAGCCATGTTTAAATATCGGAAAGGAGGTCACATCAAGGAGGAGGCAGGTTTGTTTTCTGCTGCCCTGGGGACTAGGACTCTCTGGATCCAAACTGCAGAAGGGGAGAAAACATGAGGAAAAACCTCATGTTCAACATTGGAACTCACTGCCTTGCAGTGTAGTGGAGTCTCCTTCTCTAGAAGTTTTCAAGCAGAGGCTGGATGGGCATCTGTCAGGAATGCTTTGATTATGTGTTCCTGGTGGGCAGGGGGTTGGACTGGATGATACCTTGGGAGTGTCTTTCAGCTCTAGGATGCCATGGTTTATAAAGGTGGTGCTCAAGTGAGGCCAGTCTCCTCTGTGGGTGTGTAAGCAGAGGCTGGCTGCCCATCTGCCGGGAGTGCTTTGACTATATATTTCTGCCTAGGTTGGATGGCCTTGGGGCCTCTTTCAGCTCTAGAATCCTATGAGTCTACGAATTTGGTGCTCAAGTGAAGTCAGTGTCCTTCCAATCTCCTTATCTGGGGGTGTGTAAGCTAAGGCTGGATGGACATCTGTGGGGAGTGCTTTGATTATATATTTCTACCTGGACTGGATGGCTCGGGGGGGGGGGGGTCTCTTTCAGCTCTAGGATCCTATGAGTCTATGAATTTGGCATTCAAGTGAGGCCAGTGTCCTTCCAATTTCTTTCTATGGGGATGTGAAAGCTGAGGCTGGATGGCTGTCTGCAGGGAGTGCTTTGATTGTGTATTTCTGTCTGAAGTGGGATTCTATGATTTTATGAATTCGGCACTCAAGTGAAGGCAGTGTCCTTCTAGTCTCCTTCTCTAGGGGTGTGAAAGCTGAGGTTGGATGGTCTTCTGCAGGGAGTGCTTTGATTGTGTATTTCTACCTGGATGGAATAGCCCTTGGGGGTCTTTCAGCTCTAAGATCCTATGAGTCTATGAATTCGGCACTCAAGTGAGGCCAGTGTCCTTCCAGTCTCCTTCCCTGGGGGTGTGTAAGCTGAGGCTGGATGGCCACCTGCCGGGAGTGCTTTGATTGTATTTCCCTGCATGACAGAAGGGGAGTGGGTGGTGCTGGGGGTGTTTCCAACTCCGTGACTCTTTCAAGGGTGGCCTGGCGTTACCTTTCCCGCACTCCCCCCCCCCCGCATGGCAGACAGGTGAGGTGAGGTGTCCCTTCCTTCCCTCCCTCCCCGGAGGGGCCACTCACTCGGCGTATCCCGTGGTCCAGGGCAGGCGCTGGCTCTCCTTGTTGAGGATGAGGATGGGCCGGGCGATGTGGTCGGCGGAGCACTCCACCTCGTCGGGCGAGAGGCCCAGGAACTCGGCGCGGCCGTAAGGGAAGCGCAGGGGCAGGTCCGAGCCCCCTCCTCCTCCTCCTCCTCCCCCTCCGCCGTGCTCCGACCCGCCAGCCATGATGCCTCCCATGAAATTGGCCACGGCGGACTTGACCCGAGTCAGCATGGTCCCGCGGCCGGCGGAGGGCGAGGCTGTCCCCGGGCCCCCTCCGGCGCCCCCTCCTGCGCCACCAGCCCCGGGGCGGCGGCGGCCGGGAGAGCCCGCATCCAGCTCGCGGGGCCGGCGGCGGCGGCGGGCGGCGGGAAGGCAAGGGCGCAGGGCGACGGCTCAGCAGAAGCCTCTCCCTCCTCCTCCTCCTCCTCCTCCTCCTGCGGCGCCCCTGGAGCCCAAGCGCTTCCGCAATGGAGGCGCCGCATGGAGAGGGGACAAACCCCCCAAGGAAGCAGCAGCAGCAGCAACAGAAGCAGCCAAAGCGAGCAGCGGGGGTCGAGCGCTCCTCGCCTCTCCTCCTCCTCCTCCGGCAGCAGAGACCAACCTGGCTGCCTCCTCCTCTCTCCCTCTCTCTCTCTCTCCCCCGCCTCCCTCTCCGACCCGACTGGCCAGAGGGTCACGTGATCCCCAGGCAGCCCTGAGCTCGTCTCGGGAACTTCCTGATCTGTTCAAGGGAAGCGACTCCAGGCCAGGGATGGGAAGCTGTCCCTCTAGCTCTCTCCCTCCCCACTCTCTCTTTCTCTCTCACCCCTTCTTCCCCACTTGAGGTCGCACCCCCAAAGCCATAGGGAACAAGAGGAAGCCAGGGAAAGGGCCTGAATTCAGCACAGGTGTGCAAGTGCTTCTCCTTCTCTCTCTCTCTCTCTCTTTCTCCCTCCCTCCCCACTCTCTCTTTCTCTCTCACCCCTTCTTCCCCACTTGAGGTCGCACCCCCAATGCCAAGGGGAACACGAGGAAGCCAGGGAAGGGGACTGAATTCAACACAGGTGTGCAAGTGCTTCTCTCTCTCTCTCTCTTTTTCTTTCTTTCTCTCTTTCTACCCACTCTCTCTTTCTCACCCCTTCTTCCCCACTTGAGGTCGCACCCCCAAAGCCATGGGGAACAAGAGGAAGCCAGGGAAGGGGACTCTTCTCCTCTCCCTCCCTATCTTCCCCAGGTCACTGGATTCAGCACAGGTGTACAAGTGATTCTCTCTCTCTTTCTTTCTCTCTCCCTCCCCACTCTCACTTTCTCTCATCCCTTCTTCCCCATTTGGGCTCGCACCCCCAAAGCCATGGGGAACAAGAGGAAGCTAGGGAAGGGGGGTGAATTCAGCACAGATGTGTGAGTGTTTCTTTCTTTCTTTCTTTCTTTCTTTCTTTCTTTCTTTCTTTCTTTCTTTCTTTCTCTCTCCTTCCCCACTCCCTCATTCTCTCACTCCTTCCCCACTTGGGGTTACATCCCCAAAGCCATGGGAACAAGCGCAAGCAATGGAGGGGCACTCTTCTTCTCTCCTCCCCACCTTCCCCAGGTCACTGAATTCAGCACAGGTGTGCGAGTGCTTCTCTCTTTCTCCCTCCCACCCCACTCTCTCTTTCTCTCACCCCTTCTTCCCCACTTGAAATCGCACCCCCAAAAAACCATAGGGAACAAGAGGAAGCAATGGAGGGGGACTCTTCTCCTCTCCCTCCCTACCTTCCCCAGGTCACTGGATTCAGCACAGGTGTACGAGTGATTCTCTCTTCCTTTCTTTCTCCCTCCCTCCCCATTCTCTCTCATCTCTTCTTCCCCACATAACATCATACCCCCAATGCCATGGGAAAGAAGAGGAAGCAATGGAAGGAGACTCTTCTCCTCTCCTTTCCCTCTCTTCTCCAGGTCACTGGATTCAGCACAGGTGTGCAAGTGCCCCTTTCTTTCTTTCTTTCTCTCCCACTCCCCACACTCTCTTTTTCTCATCTCTTCTTCCCCATTTGAGATCACAACCTCAAAGAACAAGAGGAAGCCATGGAAGAAGACTCTTCTTATTTATTTATTTATTTGGTACATTTGTACCCTTCTCTTTTGCAGGCTAAACATGTCCAGCTCTTTAAGCCACTCCTCATAGGGCTTGTTCTCCAGATCCTTGGTCATTTTGGTTGCCCTCCTCTGGACACATTCCAGCTTGTCAACACCTCCCTTCAATTGCGGTGTCCAGAATTGGATACAGAATTCCAGATGTGGTCCGACCAAGGCAGAATAGAGGGGTAGCATGACTTCCCTGGATCTAGACACTATACTCCCATTTATGCAGGCCAAAATCCCATTGGCCTTTTAAGCTGCTGCATGACATTGTTGGCTCATGTTGTTGTCCATGTTCCTGGTTTGAAAGTGTTATTTCTTGTTTAACTGTGTGGTGCTTATTTTGAAAGTCATTGTTATATTCCAGAAACTTGATTTTTGTGGCAGCCACAAACTATGTTGAATTGCTTGAGACTCCATGAGATATTCTTTGAAAAACTATAGCAAAATGTGCTGCAGGGTGTCCCACTAAAACAAAGTTTTTGCAGTTTAATAAATTTTTTTCATGTTGCTTGTGATAGAACCAATTAGGACATGATATTTATAACACAGGAACAAAAATCATGTTACGTAGTGTCTTTTACTTCTCACTAAGCATAAATATCTTAAAGGCACCAGATCTCATCTGATCTTGGAAGCTAAGCAAGGCCAGCTCTGGTTATTTATTTATTTATTTAATGTATTTATACCATACCCTTTCCATCCCAAAGGGGACTCAGAGCCATTTCAAACAGACATAATAAAATAAACATATACATTTAAAAACATAAAATTAAAAAGCAATATAAACATTAAAAGTCATTAATTAAAACCACGCAATCTGAAATCATAGTAAAAGCCATTCCAGCCATTATTGCACATATTTATCTTCATCTATTGTACTGCACTACTGGCCAAAGGCTTGATCCCAGAGCCATGTTTATACTTCCTTCTTGAAGGTCAGGAGGGAGGGAACTGATCCGATTGTACTAGGAAAGGAGTTCCATAGCCGAGGGGCCACCAAAGAGAAGGCCCTGTCTATCATCCCCACCAATTGCACCTACGAAGGAGGTGGGACCGAGAGCAGGGCTTCCCCAGACAGTCTTAATTTCCAAGATGATTAATCGAGGGAAATGCATTTGGACTGATAGGCTGGGACAGAACAATTTATAAAGCCAAAACTTTGAATTGTACTCAGTAGCAGACAGGCAGTCAGTGGAGCTGACATAACATAGGGGTGGTATGCTTAGGACTTGGATAGGGGACTGCCAATAAAGACCAGGTGCTGTATGTTGGGGGTTGTAAATTTAAACAAACAGAAGCTTTACCACCATTTCTGAACCAAGATATATCCTGCAGTATAGTAAAGTGTCCCTTGGGCTTGTGTAACAAGTAACAGTATTTTAACTTTAGTTCAAAAGGTCAAACCGGACAACAATATATACAGCAGTCTCTCTCTGAATTCACACAGAGAACGGAGGGAATAAACAGTCTTTAAAATATGCTTCATGCCTTAGAAATGATCAGGCTTCAGAGAGTTGGCAGCCATTTCGTTCCTGGATGTTTTCACTCAGCGCTCTCTTCACTCTCCGAGGTGAAAGTGACAGTTAGAACCATTTGCCTCAGCAGCAAGCCAGAGACAGTAGCCAATCAGAATTCTGGCTGCTGACATGCTTAGCCAATCAACTGCCAACATATGCTTCTTCAGTCAACCCACCACATCACAGTGTCTTTTTACAGTTCCCCACACTGTGGACTATATTTCAGAAGAAGAACACAAGTATACAACACATGGGATCTATATAAATTGATAAGAGGCTTGAAAGCTTGCACACACACAGGCACCTATTTATATTTTTGTGTTGGTCCTCCAAGGAGATTTGTGTTCATTTTCACTATAAATCACTTCCCTGACATTCAGTTTTTTGTAGCTCAAAAAAGACTTTATATGCCAAGAAAATCTATTTATCCCGCTCCCTCAGGGTTGTCTATTCTTTTGCTCTCCGTGGTCTTTGCTGGAGGCCTTTCCTATCACCACCTACTGAACTTTTGCATGCAAAAGGCTATTTAGAAAACCTTTTATCCCACCTCTCAGATTCTTTCTTCTGCCTTCTCGCCCCAAGCAATTCTCAAGCCAAAATCATCACGTGATGCAAAATAATAACCAGAAACAAAACTGGAGAACTAGAAACAACTAGGGACCACAATGAATCTACAAAAAAAAAAAAACAAAACATTGTGGAAAATGAAAGTGTCAACAACATTCGGCTGGAAGGGTTATTATATTCAGGTTGATGATTTCCAAATCTACGTTTCTACTTTTTAATCTTTTACCTATCACCTATTAAGATTCTCCAGGGATTCAGGAAAATAAAGAGGAATGATCTGAGTACAGCATGTTTTTATTACAAATAATACATAAATCACAAATAAACCTATGAACAATGTCAGTACTCTGTTTGATGCCAGTACATTGAGGCCTGCCAGAGTTTTTCATGGCTGCTTCTTTAACCTGCATGTGAGGGGGTCGGGGTGAGCCTTTAATAAAGCCTGGGTTGGATCTCCCTCAGATTTCAGTACACTAAAACTGCTCAGAAAATGTGGAGTGGATTTAGGAACAGCAGCATTTTGCAGCAATTTAGATGCTGAAAACGACTGAGGTTTTTCAAAAATCAGGATCTTCCTGGGGACTGAATTATCAATGTTTTATTCTAGTTTTCTTTTCCTAGTTACAAAAGCAGTATGAGCCCTGTATGGTTTCATTTAGACAAAATATAGCCTCTCTGGGCAATGTTTAGGTCCCCCAGAGTGATTCTATGGCATTTTGGGGCTGAAAGTCCTTCAGTTCTGTTTAACGTATCCATACTATGTCCAGAAATGTATTTCCCCACGGTTCACCTACTGTTTGAGGTAGGTGTGAATGTTGCAATTGCCCACCTAGATTAGCATTTAATGGCCTAACAGTTTCAAGGTCTGTTTTATTACTGCCTGGAGGAATCCTTTGTTGGGAGGTGATTAGCTGGCCCTGATTCTTTCTGGTCTGGATTTCCCCTGTTTTTGAGAAGACATCAAAGGATCCACCCAGGCAGACCTTGAAAACTGCTAGGCCATTACATGTTAATCGAGGTGGCCAATTGCAGCATTCACACCTACCTCAAACAGACAAGAGTTCTTTCACCCAAACTGGACATTCCAGAGATATATAAATCCGATTTTCCTAGTTTCGAACAGACCTCACAACCTCTGAGGATGCTTGTCATAGATGCAGGTGAAACATCAGGAGAAAATGCTTCTGGAACATGGCCATACAGCTCGGAAAACTCACAACAACCCAGTGATTCCAGCCGTGAAAGCCTTTGACAATACATACATTATCAACTTTTATTTTAACAACTCACCCTATTCTATTTGATGTTTTTTAGGCATTCAAAATTCCTGATTTAAA